ATTTCTAGACAGACAAAACTAGAGAAAAACATATAGGTTTACAGTTAGCTGAGAACATATACAAATCAAAACATACCCCTGTAGTCGCTAATAAATTGGATTGCGGCCTATCAGTAGAATATCAAGTTTATCACTGACGCATAAAGTATACATTAGATTAGCAGGGTTAATAAAGGGCCGTGCTCTAGTTCGAGGCGCGTTAAAAGCTTCCAGCCTATGTGATAGAGTTAGGAGCGGCATGCGGCCATCACGTCACCGATATAGACAATACCATCGCTAAAGTAAACGTCCGTTGCAGATACACTTACAAGACATTCGTATAAATATATGTATGTGCTCAGTACATATTACATCATAGAACTAATAGTCGGAATAAACCTTTTTATCTATATCTATGCTAATATTATAAAGAGGAAAGATTTGTATTTTGTATGTATTGAAATAACTCAAAAACGAATAGGCCGATTTCAAAAACTATTTCACCGTTAGAAAGGTTTATCTGTCAGTAAAATAGGTTATATTTTGTTTTATTTCATTCGGACGAAGTCGCGAGCAACAGCTAGTACCAAATAAAGTACGTAATCTAAGACATGATTTTAATACCATAAGTTTGTTTTATTCCAAAAAATAAACTAATTATTATCAAAGAGTAGTAAAGTGCAGTAACGACAGCGCATATATAGTATTGCTTTTCAACACCATTACAAAAGGCCACTATTATTTCATTCAACATTACGATATATGTTTGTCAAGTCTAGAATTATGCTTTTAAGCTTTGTTACTTATTCTTTTTGTAAAATGAAGCTGTGAAAGTACAATAGCAATGCGTAAGGGCACAGATGTTATTCTATTGTTGTTATGTACTCATGGCTACAATCAGTACAAAATTTTCTATTTCAATTCATATAAAAGTAAGGCGTCATTCAGTTTCCCAATTTTACCCTTTCCCGCAATAACTTCCTCTTTGCTTTTCTGGTAGAAGTACCCATTTAGACTTTTATACAAAACATGTGTCAGAGACTCTTAACAAAATGGCAATCGATCAAATTCATGAACTTACCTAAAGCTAAGAAGAATTTTGCATCAAGGAGGCTAGACCAGATTCCGCCACAGCCATTGCGTACCTGATAAAGAAAAACAAGATTTAACAACCAAATAGGTTAAGGTGCATACAGACAAAATAAAATATAATTCATTAGTTTCAATACTCCAAAGCCGAACCTTAAAAACACGCTTCCTACGTCCACATCGTTTGTAATATACAATAACAATCAAAGGTATCGACTTGTACGAAGTTCGTAGTGTCAATAAGACCGATTCGATCGAAATCACGGTGACCACAAATAGGCAAACAAAGCACCTCGTCACCTCGACCCCTTTACCCTATTGTCCACAATATATAGTCAGATTAACGAGTAACGTATAAAGGAATTAGGTCGGCGCTCAGCGGGTGGCCGGAGGGACGATTTGGACAAGCCATGGCGGAGATTAGGGTGGGCAGGGGCGTGGTTAGCGCACCGTGAAATGCCGCGCCATTTCGCCGCGAGGTGACGTCACGGGGCACTCCTGACATTTCGGCTAAGGCAACACTGGCCCTACCTTCCTTCACCACTGATAACAAAAAAAATTGTCCGTTCTTTTTCCAGCAACACGCTACGTGAGCCCGCACATTTAGCTGTGCTGTCGCCTTGGCATTTGCCAAGTGAAACAAACCGCCTTTATGTATGTCACAATTTTATAGCCTTTACTACGTTTATTTTAGTCAGTGACGTCATACTAAGCGAAAATAACATTCTATAACTATTACTTACAACAAAGAGTGTGTTTACGTTTAAAATTTATTTTGCATTCTGTGAAACCAATAAAGAAACACATTTTAATTTTCCGGATATTGTTTTTTAATGCTAACACTGAGTCAACATTTTGCTTCAAAAAGGTTCCCCGTACTAATGAACTACGTAATAATGAAACACTGTACACAAAAAAACAAATAGTATTAAATGGTCGATTGTTGAAACGAATACATAAGCCGATAATTGGGAAATTATGGAAAATTTTACAATAGATACATCAACTACACTATCTACAATGACACGAAACGTGCATGGAACATTATTCATTGAAATATCTAATAGTAAACTACTCGAACTATATCTCGGTAGCTAAAACTAGCTTTTCCCCGTGACTCCTTCCAGCGTGGAATTAAAACAAAACATAAGTAGGTAACATGTACTCTAAACTTTCGCATTTACAATATTAGTAAAATAAAATAAGATTGCTTAGTATCAAAGGGTGACCTTTACAAAGTATACAATCTGTGATTATAAAATCGTAAACAATCAATGAGCGTTACTTTCATGGGATACGCGAAGGTCGCAGGAAAAAAAAAAAGGTCAGCGAGCTTGATCATGCGTAAAACATGCGTTGTAAACTGTCATTTTTACGACGTATAAATTGCGCGGGAATTATCCTCTGTCTTCATCGTATTCCTGATACACCGATCGAAAAGCTTTTGTATACATCGCTTTTAGTTTCCATTGGCGAAACTTCGATACAAAACATTGTTATCTCAGTTTTAAAATATAAAAAGAGGTAGAACACAATTATACATGTCATGTATTGTATTAATACTGAAGCAATGGAAACCTAGAGTAATAAGAATATTTGAGGCGGGAAAATTCCCGCTTTCTAATACTCTTATAATTCGTACTTAACAACTGAAAAAATTACTAGCATTGTTTGTAAGGTTGGCGACAGGCTATCGGCCCGGCGTAAAAATTAAGTTGAAACATAAGCCTACATTCACACGGGCGCTTTTTAATGCTCTAATTTAGCGGTTTTTTAACGCTATCGGTCCTATAAATACTTCAAAATTACTCAATCGCTCAGAACTAAAAAAAAATCGCTCGTGCTGGGAGGCAAATGGGAGGGGCCCAGGAGATAAGTGATTACTACAAAAAATTTTAAATAGTAACATAATTCGACAGATGCATAGAAGTAATAAATTTATTTTGCGTCATTATTTTAGAATTCCATATAACTGATATATTGAAGCAGATGAATATTTTAAAGTATTATCGTGGGAGCTTTGCCAGACGTATTCTTACGAAAGTATTTTCATTTGCCCCATGAACTTGTATATAAGCCTATTATTAACTTAGGAAAAAATATAGCTCAACAAAAGTTAAATTACATGATTTCTGAGAACTCAACAATTGTGAAACTAAAACTGTATAGTTGGAAATTTATGTGTTACACAAAATGTGTCATAAATAAATAATTATCTATGAATGATTGTACTTTTTATCATCAGCATCATCATCATCATCACCAGCTCACTATACATCCCCATCAAGAGGTTCGGAGCCTACCCTAATAGGGGGGTACCCTAAGGTGGTTTTTTGGTACATTATGTTTATAATCTAAGCATTCAAAACATCCAAAAAGAATTTAATAGTATTAGTCGGAGAGCCTTAATTAAGGATATCTTTGCTTAGTGAGATACTAAGTATCACTAAATAAATAAGACTATTTGTGGACCGAGATTCACATAACCTTTTTTATTATACTTTGTTAGGAACAAATTTAGAATTTAACTAATGTTTTCTATCTTTCATATTAATTTTAATTTCCATTAAGAATTTTAATTGTTATCAAAGTATTGATCATGGCCTATGAGATATTTTCTAAAAGAGAAAATTTGATAAAACAAATGTAATAAATCTTACTAATACAATATGTTTATTTGGGAGTTAAAAAATATAATAAAAAGCACTAAATGGAATTACCTTCAAAATTCACTGAATTAATAACATAGAATACAATTATATTTCTTTTACAGAATGGTTCAACAACATATATCAGAAACAGTAAGAACTGCATTATGTTTCCATAGCAACAAAGTAAATAAAAGCTTAAGTGCGGGTTACAAATGCAGAGCTACAAATATAACAATCCAAAAGTTGTTTGCATGCCAATTAAAAAACATTACATTTTTTTCAATACTAATATTATAAAAAGGAAAGAAATATTTTTTTGTATGTATTGTAATAAATTCAAAACGATTGGACCTATTTAAAAATTTCTTTGACCATTAAAATCTACATTATCACTGAGGTTACTCAGTATCACTCAGTATGTTAATAGACCATACTTTTTACAATTTTTTATATCACTTGAACAAAGTCATGATCAACAGCTAGTTCATTTATAGCAGGAGCCTTAAACTGAGGAAAATGAAGCCTTATACAATAATTTTAACTAATACTATCACCTATGATCCTTTTCAAATGTGTTAGTGTTTTGAAGCCAAGGATTGAAATTTTTTATTACATTTGAAAAATATGGTTTGTTGTAATTATTTTTTTTTTCATTTTTATACTAATAAAAAGTGCATGTTAATTTGTATTTATTTTAAACTTATTGGAACGACTTCTTAAATTTTTCTACATATCACCGCAACAAGTTGACGGTAATAGTAAAATGTTTTAATTACAATTTGCGGTATCTTACAAAATCAATCTATTACACTATTAGAAACAATTTGAGAATATCAAATTGGTTACGTATACAATTCTGTTTATATTAAAGTCATCGCTAATAAAAGTGAAAGTACTAAAATTTTGACAACTACCATAAACATATAAACAAGAAAACATATAACAAATTCAGATACATCTACTTACTTATAATCAATTTACAGAATTCCTTATCGTCCACTATTTATCACCATAAATAACTATTCACCAATTATATTCGCAAAACGCGATTTTGCAAACTAGACCCCACAAAACGCACTTTTTGACAACCGTGTTGATGACATTATAGATGCAATAGAGTAGATCAGTAGAGTAACAAGTCACGAGCTTTATGTAGAAGTCCCGTGTTTTATTCCTAATAGTAGGGACTAATTTCAATCAAAATCAAATATTAAATGGAAAGTATCTGTAAATCGACCTGGACTATAGTACTGAAAGGTGTTTAGTGTTTACTCCAAAAGTTTGGATCAGGGGCACAAAACTTGACAAAATTATTTTGTTTTGAATGTTCTTTGATGTGTGGATAGACCACAAACCTTCTGTCATCCCGTCAAATTGTCTATTGTATTATTGTATTGAGGTTGCAAAATTGATTTGCTTTACTTATAGAATATTTAACATAAGTATAAGTAATAATTTTAATCGATATTCAAGTTTTAAAGTGTTTTTTTTTACCGTGAAGACTTTATCCAATCATCTCAATTACGCAGTAATAAACTACTTCCTATCTAATTAATTTTTTCTTCTTGAATACTCACGGTTTGTTCTTCGTTAGTATCGCCATTTCAATGCAGAATATGAATATTTCAATAGAAAGAAAAAGATCTGATTGTTCAGCCTTGCCAAAAGGATGGCAAAGAGAAGAAGTTATGAGAAAAACAGGACTTTCTGCCGGAAAAGTCGATGTTTTTTATTACAGGTGATTTTAATATTCCTTATATGTATATAAACTTGTACACAAAAGAAATCTAAGTTGTTTTGTTAATGATTTTTAATCTAATATAGAGTAAACATTTATAACCAGTGTACTATGTATTTCAACAATGTTTGTGACATTTTATTTTTCATTTTAGTTTGAATTTTGTTTACAAGAATCTTAGAAGAAAGTTGTTTTTACATTGTAATTGGTACTTTATCTGGTGTAAACAATAAATTTGTAACAGTGGTACTCATTGACCATTCATTGCAATATCCAGTATCAATGAAAGTTAACAAACACTAACTGTAACATCAGCTTGTCATTGCCGACCGGTCTATGGTGATAATAAATTTTCTATAGCCCTACAGGTAAAAAGTTTCGCAGTAAACCAGAACTAGTTCGATATCTGGGTGATAGTATGGACCTGTCATGTTTCGACTTTCAACAGGGCCAAATAAACACAATGCTCCTGTGCAAGACCAAGAAAGCTCGAGCGCAGTTTGACTACAGGTTCCATCTATGTCGTAATTTATCACTTGTGTTGTGATCATTAGTGCAATCTTGTGCTTTGTGTTTACACCTATACCTGTTGCTGTTACCCTGGTAGCTTTATTGATAAGTAGCAATAGGGCTTGTCCCATATTTATTTATTTGGAAAATCCTTTGTATTTTATGTTTACAGCTTGAGGTAGTTGTGTTGTCAATTGTGATCATAGTAATATAGATTGCAGTGTGTGTGCGGACCTTTTTATACAATATTTAAATTATACCACAGCTTTTTCACCACTTCATACTACCGAGCTTTTACATTATAGCTTATTTAGACATCAAATCACATAATACAATGCAATTCAATAACACCATCAGCTTTACATATTCAGTTTATAGTAGGTCAGTCATTAAAACATAGAAACATCACATGCATTATAGCTATGCTTCAAAATTGATTCTGTACAGTCGAGGATATTTTTTCCTACCCATTTCAGTAAAATGTTATTTGACAGTTTAGTAATTAAGTCTAAGTAAGATTGATAACATATGAACATGATATATTGCAGTTCTTATGGTGAAAGATATACAAAACACAATCCTACCTGGGAAGCATATTTAATTCTTCGACTGTGCATTGATAATTGTGTCCATTTCTTACTTCACATGTCATTAACATTTGTTATTAAAAGCATGTGTTTTAAGCATGAAGAGTGAAAATCATCAAGTGTATAATATAATTGTTGGTTAAGGTCAAAAAAGAAAAATAAATACATGATCTTAAAAAATAATTTTTTTTATGTAATGTTCTTTTGTACTGCATAAATCAGGAAACATTTACTTAACACTAATATTGTACAGTTTTTGTATTTTTAAAGCTGTAGTTATTTGAAATGTAACAGTTTAAATTTATTCAATATATTTTTACTAATAGAGGAGTACGCTCAGACTCATCTCTGGTGCCACCTATTCGCCAGACAGCATCCATTTTTAAGCAGCCAGTAACAGTATATAAAACTCAGGAGAGTAAAGTGAAAACAGATCTGAAACAAGGCACACAAGAGAAGCCTAAACAATTATTTTGGGAGAAACGCTTGGAGGTGAGTTATGTGAAAAACTGTAAATTTGTATAGAAACCTTCATTCCACTTTAAATGCTTGAAATAGATAAAATATGCTGTGTTAAAAAAACATTGTATTAAAACTGAATCAAACAAAAATCTTAGGTCAAAAATGATACAATGATACAATTTCTCTAAGCTTTCATAGATATGTGCAAAATACTTGTTATTTATTAGTGCATATCACTCTATATTTTGTTTGTTTTCAGAATTTGACTGCATGTGATGCAAATGGTGTTATAGGAACAACAACACTGCCAAAGTACATAAAACCTTTGGGTCCGTTTACAACTGACGCAACTACCATACAGTCTCTAGCTACAGCTCTTCATGTTTCATCACAGCCAATTACAGGTACATTTGTTTTTTCTTAATTAAATTGTTTAGTGTTCAGTATTTTTTGTTATTATTTAACATTCATTGATAATCATTTATTTGAAAATTTCATGTCTGTAAAGTGATTTTATAGATGACAATTTTATGTTGCTGCTAATAAAAAAAAGGCTTCAAGGTGAACATTTAAACCGACCTTGCCTCTCTATAGCTTGTTTCGCGCTCTGGATTGCTCACTCGTCTCGGACGGAACTTTTGGGACATGTAACTTGTTCTTACTCCAAAAAAATCTTGAAAAACGTACATAATATGTATTTACTTTACCACTGATGAATTTTATTGTCTAGCGAGCAAACTTTTCAACCTTCGGAAGAAATGCCTCTCAATTTTCCGATTGAACTGTTAAAATGTTTCCAGGACAAACCGGATCGAAGCAAACCATAATGGAAAACCCGGGTGTTTTTTTAAACCCTGAGCAGCCACTGATTGCTTCTGTAACTATAACTAAAGACGATGTGAGACGTCAGGAGGAGCGCGTAAACCGCGCCCGACAGCGGCTGCGGGCGGCGCTTGTGGCCGCATAGGAATACGCCAGCGACGGGGAGCCCTCGTCAGAGACCCCCGCCGCTATGAGCCTACCTGAAGAACCCGACTCCACGGAAGATGTACAAAGTTTGCTACCCGATTCCACAGTTAATGATCCAACAGATTCAAGTAATTGACTGCAAATTTTTTTATTTATTACTAAGATAACTGACAATTGAAATTTCTTTTGGACTATGAAATTTAAATTTAGATAACTATTGGAATAAATGTTCTACTTAATGACTTTTTTATAAATAAAACATTTTGAGATTCGTAATAAATTTTATTGCTTCCTTAAACTCCATCATTCAGCAATGTAGGCTAAGATGTCACAACCATAATTTTGTAATGATATTTTTTTAATATTAAATGTAAACATTGTGATTTGTTTAAAATTTCTCTAATATTTTGATTGTTGGATATGAAAAAGCTGATTACTTCAACCTAATTATCACTATGAATTCTTTATCGAAATCGAAGTAAATACGAATTACACTATTTCTTAATACATAAAACAACTTCATAACTGCAACAGCAAATAAATTACTTAAAAAAAAAAAACAAATCATACTAGAGCTTAACTCAAAGACTAGATCATTAACTTATATTTATAATACTAGAAAACTATTAACTTGTGCATAATAAGTTAAAATTGTCTCAGTAAAAAGTTTATTCCATAGATATTAATTTAATGAAGATAGTTTCCACGGAACAAGCAAAAGGTCAATGTTCCCCAAAGATGGTTACAAGGAAAAACGCACTTCTACTGTACCTCTGTACAGAACTATTGTCTTCTATGGAAACTAATCGTCTATTAGCCTAAAAATTTAACTATAAGCATAAGCCAATACTCTACAATTGGGTCCCAAGATACATCATTATAAGTAAAATACTAAGCAAAAATTTTATTAGAATAAATTATTTAAGGACACTCGCTTAAAGTCATATGAATAAAGAAATATTATCCTAAGAAACATACATCCCACTGTAATAACCCTTAAATACTTCTAGGTAAATTATTTCCTAAATATAATGGGACAATCTAATAATAAAGTAACATTCTATCTTTTTTGGGTCAAACAGAGATCACATGTGGCAGATAAACCTAACCTAACATTATCTAGAAATTTAATTATTGTTAAAATGCATATTTCACTTGATACAGGCAAAAAAGAACTATAGACAAGTTCTAGAATGGGATTAATTTGAAAAATCTCGCAATCAATTTACTAATACTTCATTACCAATTGAAATTTTAGTACAGTTGATAATTTCTCTCTTTATATGGGTAAAATATTCAGAAATACTTCTCTAAATCATAGGAGGGACTATGGTGTTCAAGCTTTCAAAATCAGCACTCTATATGTACTTTCATTAATCTAAACATCAATGAAGGCCCCAAGTTGTAAATGAATTAAATCTATATTTATTTCTTAAGCCTAATTGGAGTTTTTTAAAATTTCATTGTTAAAACTAAAAAATGATATGTTAATACAATTAAATATTATTATGTATTAATTCTATAGAAGCTTATTTTAAGTGTAAAATGATATGTATGATATGATTGCTTGAATCTAATCATGTCCAAGGGTAAAAATTAGAAAATGCAATGGTTCCTATGACTAAATATCCAATGAAATAACATTGTATAAATCTTGATTGAAAATCGGGCATATGCCTAGATATAATAAATGTTTTCCATTTACTGTACATGTTGTCTACACCTTCTAGGTTAGCTATTGAAAGATGATGACTAGGGATTCTCTTTCCGGTGCCAACACGTCTAAAATGTTCATTTATAGCATTCTGGTCTGATGATTGTGTCGGACCAACATTCATCTTACTCGCACATATCCAATATAAAATAGGACTGCCTGATGCCAAAAGTCTAGTTGCAACTTGAATGTGCACATATACAATACAAAATACACTAAGAAATATTGCATGAACTACATAAACAAATATATTCGGATCATTGGTCCCAAATGATTTAGAATATTGTCTAGGCCTATAAGCCATTTTATTCATATATCCATAATTAATAATATTGTCTCTTAATCCAAGTCTAAAACATAGCCTTATATTGTTTTTTATAAAAGAAACTGAATAAAATAAAATTAAAATCAATATTGGTGAAGCCAACAAAAAGTTTGGAATTTGCTTTAATTTGTAATAATTAAAGAATCCTACATCCCAATAATGACTTTGAATGTAAGAATATGATAAAGGTATTGAATAATTGCACCAAGGACTGTCCCCAGAACCAGGCAAAATATATTCAGTGTTTGATAAAAATTCTGGTAAGTTGTGATCATTGATGGTACAAAATTTAAAATAATTATACAATTGTACAAGTAGGTAGGGGATCAAGGCAACAATTACAGTTATGAAAAGTGCTACACTGCTTGTAAGAAATGGTAAAAACAAGAATGGGAGCATAACTCTATGCTTAAGAGTCCTATATTTGTTGACAATTTCAGGCAAAGTCCTTTCAATGACATTCTTGAAACTTGTATAGAAAATGAAACCCAAATTAACTAAACCATTAGATCTTGTTATCATAGACAAAGCAGCAGGAAATGCACTTGTGATATCAATGTTGGCAAATCTGAGTGATTCATTCTCAGTACATTTGAACATTGTGTAAAATGACATAAATGCAAATAAAGTCTCGGAATATGGAGCTGTGAAAAATATACTTGCAGGATTTACACAATACAGTATAGTAGATTTGTATGCATAGCATTCACTTCTTAGAACTCTCAAACTTAGACTATGTAGTATGTCTGCAGATTTAATAAATAATACAAAGTTAACTATTGTAGCAGATATCAGTAACAGACTATGGAAATTGAGAAATGTCCCTAGTATACTACTAAACATGAAAGCAAGATATCGAATGATGAGTGGATACAATGGTAAGAATGCTAAACAATTTTCATATGTATATCCATATTGGGCTATGTGAATAAAATATTGAGCATCCCACCTTTTCATACCACCTAATAGCTTATCAACGACCATATCTGCAGCTGTTTTCCGCAACGTCGGGTCTTCAGGACTGACAAATACATTTGCATCGTGGTCGGGTATTACGGCGTTAAATATTGCTTGTATCAATATGACTGCAACTCTTGAATTAAATGCAAACCATAGAACTTTCTGTCGCGGAGAATACATATTATCTGCAATGAAACAAAAGGAATTTGAAATAGAAAATAAGATTTCAACTAGGGGAAAATATTATATACTTACGTAAAAACTTTTTCTAATACACCTAATGTAATCAATAATATATGGGTCACATATAGTTCAAGTTCATAGGGGAGATTATTGACGAAAACGATGCATTTAATAAAAAAATCAATATACAAATTCAAAATGGTTTGGCATAGTTTTGCGGCATTTTGAAATCTGTCAAATCAAAAATTGACATTGACAGTTATTTTCTAGAATTACCAGTTGCCATTCAAAGAATAAATAATATGATCAAGCAGATGCACTATTAGCCACAGGTTTTGTAGTCAAACTAGCTAATCCTACGCAGCTTCGTCCTTCTTTCCATAACATAACAATATTTATGAAAACTTGCCAACCACTAAACTGAGAACAAAACTTTCCCCCGTAAAATATATTATTCATTTCTTCTACTCCTGTGGGCGACACATTTTACTTCCTTAATCAGAGGATTGCTGTTTTTTTGTTTTCCCTTTCTTTAAAACGTACTACTTGTATATAGTATCATAGACTTCGCCAGCCGATATCGCCCTTAGATCTTGGGTAGGTCCTGGATTTAATGTCTAATTAACATTATGCTGTCCCTAAACAGGACAACGCCCATGTTTAGAATATGAACGATTATAGGACTGACGAAGTACAACAATTACATAGAATATGGGCATCAAGTTATGGAAGGTCTTTCTCTTGTTCCTTTAATTTGAAATTAAACAAAAACAATGGGCAAACTGCAACATTGGGACAGGAAGGAATACGAATAGAATGAAAACACTATGCCAAATAAATTGTAATGGGCATGTTGTCGTTCGTAAAAATGAAGGCAAAATGTTAGGGTTTATAAAACCTAGTTCGCAGACTACACGTAATAAGATCAGGGAGTTAATGTACGGTCTGCCAAAAAAATACAAACGAATCGCCCAACTTTACTATAAGAGCTTATATCAGGTCAGGTTATTACAATTTCAGCTACATTTTAATAGGTAGAGATAAATTTAAGGTCATGCAAATATTTTTAAAGAAAATTATAAAAACCCAGATTATATTTTATATAGCATTCCTATATCAGTTATCAGTCACCATACAATACATACCATATTTGTAAATAACGTTTAAGCAACTCATATAATTTATAAGCATTGAATAATATTACATATAAACAACCGTGGGTAGATAAACAACATGACAATTTGTTATATTTATAACCATTTTTACTTTTACATTTATTGTAAAACAAAACTATTTACATAAACCTACAATCATAAATGTAATTTTAATCTAAATTTAAAGTAAATTTAACATTGATAGATAAGAAAAATATGGGACAATATATTCACCAGAGACAAATATTACCTTCTTTACAAAAATAATATGATAAATTACCGAACTTAAAAAATTACCTTTGCCCAACACGATAGGGAAGGCGAGTCCTTCCTTGAAAAATATTAAATACCTAGATATAAAGGAATGGAATTAAATTACTAGATTGTATGAATTGCTACTAAAATTACAACTTTTACAACACTACAAAGGTTACACAAAGATGTAAATAGATAGACTCTTATACACCTCAGAAATAAACGGTGCTATTATTTCTATTGATTTTAAACATGAAGACATAGCATTGAGGCTTTCAAATATTTTGTCGGCTCGAAACAAATACGAGTCACGCAGAACACAATTTTATAATCAAATTCAATTGAAATAAGAAATTACCACGAACTTATGTAAAGAATTACCTTACGAGGCTGTAACCACTTTAAAGAAACGCACATTAGTATCAACAATTTAAACACCAAAATACAAGATATTATTAGCCAGTTAAATGTGTGATTAATTTTATCGTTTTAATTGAACTTAAAACGTGTAGCGGGTTTTAAAGGAATGGTTGGGGAGGTAAGATCACCTTGAGCCATCAAGATATATAAAAAGACGTATTCTTAATATCTGTTACAATCAGTAAGAGCCTATCTATTTAGATTTTTGGTTACTAATATTGTGTAAGTAAAACCCCACAATGTTGATTATTGATCTTTTTACCACGTACATTTTACGTCGTAATTTATAATAATGAGTGTATCTAATTAAAAAATCACATATTGTGAATATTTTAAATGAAATTCAAAAACACTTCATCAAGTGTACTTTACACGCATTAGCAAGCTAAAACTTTTTTTAGCTTAAATTTGCAGAAACTTGTCAAAATTAGTTTCTAAAAATTAAAACTGTGCTCATATGCTATTTCTTATGAAAGACAAAGTGATTAATTACTTAAAGATTTCGCAAAGTATGAAAAAAACGAAAAAGTAAGCATAAAATGCTTTTACTATACTAAATTTCTGTCAACTAAGATATTCCTTCATCGTCGGCTTATTTAGATACATTTACTAAATCGAAAGTGTTACAAGTCATATCTTCTATTGACACATTTAATTTTATACTACGGAATACATAGATAATAGTCACTTTTAGTAATAAGTGTATAGACATTAAGATTTTAAAATCGCATCTAAACTATTTAGAGTTTGAAAAAAAATCGGTGTAAACACAAACAAAAGCTATTGGAACATAGATTATAGACGAGAATGGACATTTTGCGACAGCACCAAATTCAAACAATCAAACACAATAATTGTAATAGTTTTTATGTGATACATTGCAATGTAGACGTGTGTAAGGAGGCGAACCGAAAGTGGTGTGAGTTGAGTAGTGTCATGTCTATGGGCAAGATCGTTAGCTCATAGACAACTGGCCGAGGGCCAGTAGCCTCTCCACGGCCGCGTTCACGTCGCCGAATGTTGCGATCAGCGCTGCAACCAAAACGTACATTAAATACAAAATACACATGTAAAATGTAACAACAAATGGTGGGTAGTGTTAAGAAGAAAATCTGGCAACACTAGAACCTTGGCATAGACGTCCCGTCCCTATCTAACAGCTGCCAATGCCTTTCAGACGCATTGGAATAGCGCGCCATTCTGTCGGAAGTAGCTCTGAGTGTTTAAGTTAATTACGCTAGATACATTAATTGCCTAAAACTAGTTGACATTTTCAATAAAAATGTACATGTTATGAATTTGAAATGTTTTAAACCTACTCAAATAGTCTGAATCTTATCTGGGAAAAACTCCAAAACTATTACTATTAAACTATCCATGGGCATCGCTAGCCGATGATCAAGGAGGGTTAGTTGTAACACTACTTTTTTTATTCCAAGAGACATCCCATTTTTAAAAATCTTTTTAAGTTATCTATATTTGTCAATAAGGATTGTGGGCACCGTAGTATTTTGAAATAATTTATGTATTCCTGGGGACGTCTATGAATCTATGTATGGTCGACTTTTCGTGAGTAGCTTAGTATATAAAATGCGGTCACCCTGCAGATTGGCCTCCCTGTTGAGGAAGCCCATGGCGGCGAGCTGCTCCAGCTGCTGCGAGTAGCGCTGCTCCGGCGGCTGGCTCGTGTTGCTATGGTTGCTTGACATCGCGGACATCATGCGCTGCATGAACTGTACACACCACAATACCTCAGTTATCCTCAGTGTGAAATAAAGATATTCTTACAAATTAGATACAATTCTCATTCTTATTTTCTAAATGATATATGATAGCCGAGGGGACATACGCTACAACACGGTGTATAACCGTGCCGGAGGACTGATTTTAGTCCTTTTACCTTCCCATCTCTTTTCTTATAAGAGAAGACGGATTTGACGCTTGAGGAGACGCATAGGCAGGCGAAATATCTTTATGCGCGTTTCTTCTTCCGTCGATTAAGGGTAGGTAACACATCTGCTATTGTGTATGTCTATGGGCAGCGGTAGCTTCGCCATTTTGGCGGATTCAGTTAGTTGCTTGCTTTTTTACCACCTTATGGTGTAAAAGAAATTTGAAAAACGTAATACTGTATCAAAAAACTGTTGTTCAAGGAGTTTTGTTACATACCTGAGAAAACAACTCTGAGTTTTGTTGCTGGCGGGGCGTGGCGTTGGGCGTGGTGTTGGCCGAGGGCGTGGTGGTGGCGGGCGCGGGGGGCTGCGCCGCCGCCGCCGCCGCGCCCAGCCCCAGGTTGTTGACGAGGCTGGGCGCCGCCGTGCGCAGCTGCTCGATGCCTTGCTGGATTTGCAGCAGCGCATTCAAAGCCTAAACAATTACAAATTTTAAACTAATTATTTACCACTTATGTAAATTATAACCTAAAAGATAATAGGTGACAAATCCCAGAACATTTTGAATCTTGTCTTGTAAATCTACACTAGTCTATCCTTAACAATAAAGAAGAATAATTTTTATTTAGATTAGCTTAAAAACCACAGATTTTGAAAATTCTTTCACCATTAGAAAGGTATTTTAACTGTGAGTAACATAGGCCATATATTTTTTTATTATCTATACCTGTATTCAGAGATTGTAAAGAGGAAAGATTTTTCGGATTTTGTATGTATTGAAATAACTCAAAAACTGGACCGATTTTAAAAAATTCTTTTACCATTAAAAAGCGATAACGCGCTGAATAATAAGGCCACAGATTTATTGTATTTTTTAATTTCAAACGGACGACATCGCGAATAGTTAATGTTACAAAAGTTACTATTAACAAATTACTAATAGTTTGTTTACCTGTGGATTAGTCATCATTTGCTGCATTTCAGGGTTCTGCAGTTGAGACAGCATCTGTGGCATCATCGTGCGGATTTGTTCTTGCAGTTGAGGATTGTTGGCGAACATTGGGTTCTGTTGGCATCGAAAATAAATTTAGTCAACATCTAACATAAAATATCAATACAAATGTTAATTATCCATATATATTTATTATACTAATATTATAAAGAGGAATGATTTGTATTTTTGTTTGCATTGAAATAACTTAAAAGTACTTTACAGATTTTAAAAATACTTTCACCATTAAAAGCTACAGTGAGTAGCATAGGCTATTTTTTTATCATTGCTTAATGCCACGCAGACGAAATGGCGAGCAACAGCTCATCATCATCATCACCTCCTTATCCTACTCCCGTAGGGTCGGCGCAATAGGTTTTTGTCCTCCACATAACTCTATCATCCGTCATCTCAGTCGTCACTCCCTTTTTGATCATGTCTTCTTTCACACAATCCATCCATCTCTTTCTAGTTGTACGGGTGTACAACACTCATAACTAAATTTCTCCTTGTCACATGCCTTGTCCTTGTTCAGTCGCGAGCAATAGCTATTATTATTTTGATACCTGGTTGATGAGCTGCGTGGCCATGTCAGGGTCAGCGGCGAGCGCCTGCAGCATGCTGCTGGTGTAGGGCGCGCTCAGCATGGACTGCACGAGGCGCGGGTTCTCCGACATCTGCTGCAGCAACGACTGCATGCCGGGCGTGTTGATGAGGCCGGGCCCCGCGCCGCCCGCGCCGCCGCCGCTGCCCGCGTTGCCCCCGCCGCCGCCCCCGCGCTGCCAGGGATTCGGCAGCGGCTGGCGGTTCTCAGCACCTTGTTGCGGGTTCGTACCATCTGTGTGCAAAACACTTGTTATGTAGGATTTGAAGAAATCATTGCTGTTTTTGAATAATCTTTTTTTAATAAAAAGTCCCACACTTACCGACATGCTTTAGGATATATATTTTCACTCTATTAAAATTAAAAGATATATTAATTGGAAAAAATGACACGTGAGAGGGACATAACTACAATCCAATAGTGGCATAAAGGCAAGATTATGGCAACGGTGATTGTTAGTCAATGGCAAAAACGTTCACTATAATTTGAGCATTTGCAAATTAAAGTTTTATGCAATGAGGAAACAAAATAAAGTCCTTCATAACATGATGTAGATGAAGCCGCACAGTTACAGCTAGTTAATTAATAAACATATCAATGTTGTACCTGAATTATCCACCAATCCAGAGAATGGATTGCCGGCCATGCTGCTGGCTACATTCAGCATTGGCTCCTGTATGTCACGGTACATGCGCTGCAGTGCATTGTATCCACCTAGGACAAACAACTGTAATTCAAAAACTGTCACAAAAGAAAGAGAATAACTAACACATTCAATTCCAGTATGATTTCATCATATGAAGTAAAATGTCTGTGTTATCTTCATCTCCAGCTCTCTATATGCGGCATTGAGGGGCTCAGGAGCCTACTATAAGTAAGGGGTGACTAGGCCTTGGACAACCATGCTGGCCAAGTGCAGGTTGGTTCACTTCACAAATATCTTTTACTTCCTTTGCCAATATGTGCATCACGACGTTTTCCTTCACCGTAAGAACGTCGGGTAAATAATGTACATATGAATTTGTACAATTGAAAATTACATTAGTACAAGGTGAGATTCGAACCCAGGACCTGTAGATTACAAGTCAAGTGCTTAAAACTCCTGAGCCACCGACTCTTACTGTGTGTTATATATATATGTGTAACTGTGTAGTGTTCTAGGAAGATGAGTCACCTACATCACTATACAAGTTTGTTGCAATTAAAGAGTTAAAAAACCTACCTGGAATACTTTCTAGATTGGATATAGCGCGATCATGAGACCTCATCAGCTCTTGCAGCATAGCAGGGTTGCGTGCCAACTCCATGGTCTGACGCAGCAACTCAGGGTTGTTCAACATGTGGCTAATTTCAGGGTTTCTCTAAAATGTATTTTGCTATGTCAATATATGTACAATAATTTTGGTAAATTGTATGTTAATGGAAGTAAAGTAGAAATAATATCAGAAATAGCAATACATTGACTATATCTGATCCACCATTCGACTAAAAACAGAAAACTCTTTAGTAGGAACTGTATCTTGTATGTTCATGATTAGTTACTTGTTAATTGTTGCACAACATGTTTCAAATATTACTGCATCATCATCAACTTGCACTTAACCCTTACGGAGGATAGGCACAGTATGTGCTGCTCTTCCATACATCTCTATCAGCCGTCATATCTGAATCCACTCCTTTCTTAAGCATATTCTCTACTTCAAATATTACTTACAGACATTAAATCCTGCATTTGGGGGTTAGATGTTATAAGTGTCCTCATATTTTCAGGGTCATTCATCATCTGTTGCACTAAAGGGTTGTCCAGAACTTGTCGGAGCATTTCCGGATTTGTCAGCAACTCCTGTTGCATTCTTGCCTAAAATATTTAATAAATTAATCTTTATTACACATTACAAAATTATTTATAAAGTGTATCTTATTTACCTTCTTCCTACATTATATGAAAATTACATTAGGAAGCCTTAAGATAATATTTAACCAAGATTGTAAAAGCAATATAAAATTTTATTCTACATTTTTTATAAGTGAAGAAGTGATAAATATTTCATAGAAATAGGATAAAGTTTTTGAAATAACCTGTAAATCCATAAATGTGCTCTGACCCAGGCCAAGACTTTCCAAGCCAGCCAGACCTCCAAGTGAATTCAATCCAAAAGGTGTTGCACCTATGTCCGCTGAAAGTTGACAAATTATTGGAATGAAATAATTTACTTATTTCTTACTTTCTAGATACAAATTTCATAAAAGTACTCAGAAGTATCAAAGACAGAAGTAATCACAACTTTAAGTTTTTGTTAGGTAGGTGATCATTTTTGGTACATGAAAATGTTAAAATATGTAAAACTATGTATTTGGCAAATACTGTTTGTATCCATTTCAATACATTTTAGTTATATCAATGACTTTAGAGTTGGTTCTTATTTGCAGGGACCAATATTTTATTGCAAAAGTTTACTTCATCAGATGTATCTAGAATTAGTTTAAAAAATTGCTTAAAAGATTACAGTGCTCACATACCATACAAGTTCTATACAGACATAGAGTATACCTGTATTTTCTAGTATGTTCTAGGTCTGGCTTCACCAAGTTTATACCACTAAAGTTGTGTTAGGATACAAGAATCACATTTACGAAGTAAGTACCTGGTGGACGCCGTGTCCCTCCCTCTGGCTCCGGTCTAGGAGGCGTCTTGATAACAAGATGAACAGTCAAACCATCCTTGATGTTATGTTGTTTCAAAGTGTCATTATCATTCATTATTTTTCCAGCAAAAATCAGACATAACTGCTCAGCCTCGGCGCTGAACTTGGGAGACAGCACTTCTTTAAGCTAAAAATACGATATAAATTAATTTTTACACTCGTAGATGATTAAAAGAAATGTCACCACTGATTGCGTGTCTAATATCTATGTTATTACGCCATTTAATATAGATTCTATAGTCCCATACATACTTTTTTGATATCAGCATCTTCCTCAATTTCCACTTGTTGTTTCTCTTTCGGGGTTTTTACTGTAATTGTTATCTTTTTCGGTTCTTCTTGGCCTTCTGCCATTTTACTTGATATCGATGACTCTGTACTTTAGAAGAACAGTGAAATTTATGTACCACTACAATTTGACGATAAAAGCGCCTGACCACAGATAAAGTATGTTCCATGAAAAAATAGTGATGTGATATGCAATACCGCCACATACACCATAAGCAAAAAGTGATGCAATGTTTTTTAAAAATCTGAAAGTTATGTTTCCTTGATTCTCTTCTTACTGTTAAATAAATGATCTGTTCTTTTTTTTAAAAAACTAATTTCCTGTCGTTACCGTTTAATACTAGTACAGGTAAATGTACCCATTTAAACAAATAAAGCAAACATTCAGAAATAAAAATATGTATGTGCTGGTTTCTTACAAGTAAATTGTTCATTAGTGGTTTATTAATGTTTTGAAGCATAGTTTTGTACCTTTTTTCAACGTGTTACACCTTTTGTAACGTTGTAACGGAACCACAGAGTTTTGCTGTCTCCATTCTTGTAACATGGTAACATTAAAGATTTTAAAGCACTGTCTGAACTTTTAGTAACCCTAAATGTCAAGATGTTATGCGCGGTTTACACTTAGCCAGTACAGTTGATCAGTAACAGTAATAGCTGGCCTGTCAATCCGATGACTGGCAAAGCGTTTTATTTTTTTGTATAGTCCAGATATTGGCACAACTGGCTTTGTCTAAACGGTCTGTTCTTTACCAGTCCAGTGCTGATACAACAATTGAACAGGAACCACACATTGTTTGCTTAAAGTAATTATTTGAGATTTTTTTATTTTCTTATGCGGTAACTTAAAAAAACACTCCGATAACGAAATGCAAGTACTACTGGAAACAAGCTACGTTGGTAGAGTGGTATCTACAACGTGATTTTGGGTTGTAAAATTAGTATTTGATAAAAAAAAATATTTCCACTGCTATCTGGAATTTATTGTCATTGTAGTCTTGACGACTCCAAGATTATTTGACAAGGTTATTGGACTGGCATATTATAGCCAACAATTCCAACACTTCCCTGCCATACCAACACTACTGACCAACCGTACTGGCCGAGTGTGAACTGCGCATAAGTCCAAAAAGTCAATGTCACATTGTTCCTTGTTTGCATTTTTGCAATGACAATATCCACTCTGTGATTTTTTTGTAAATATGTTGGCTTTTTGTAACTAAATCGTAATCAACTTTTTTGTTGCGTAGAATCAATTCTTTACAAAAAACTTAAATGGAAGTGAATACTTAAATATAAAACTCAAAATGGAAAGTAAGAAAATATCCTTCGGATTTTTAAAAACGAAGAAACAAGATAAGCATGTGATTGCTGAAAAACGCGAATACATTGAAAGCGTCGAAGAAAATGCCATCAAAATCATTGGGTATATACAGTTTTTACTTATTAAATCGGGGTCACGATCTAACGGTCGTTACAATGAAGGTTTGTAAAATTCGTAGAAGTAAATATACTGACTGAATACTAGTTATAATTGCCGGATGTCCATTTAAATATGTGATCCCAGCTTTCTTTACATGAAATTCTTAATCAAGTCTAAAAAATATAATAATCACCATCATATTCTAACCTCAAATTCATTTCAATCTGGATATGATGTAATTTAGAAACTATCCAGTTTCATTGTATTTGAGTTTCAAAAGTAATACTGGCAACGTATAGACATATATATGTTAGCTTAAAAGATAATATTAAAGTTTACAAAGGAAATACTAAGATCTCAATGTAATAGTGCTTTTTAAACATTTCAGAAAAGAAGTAGCAGTGGAGGCTGAACCACTCATAATTCCCATGAAGCCAAACACATTAATAACAGCTGAAAGATTAAAAGAAATAGCTGAGAAAGTTGAAAGTTCAATTAATGAGCTGGAAACACCAAAAGCGCCAGAAATTAAAAATGAATCAAAAGAAAATGAGACACTTGACCAAATGGCAGTTCGGGAACTATTACAGGAAGCTAAACAAGAGAAAAAACAAGAAGTTCAGTCACTCAATATACTTGTACCATCAACTCCAGTGATAGATGGGCAAAAAGAGGTAAATATGTATAACAAGAATCAATACATTAGTAAAATAAGACTCTATATGTTCAAAAAAACAGGTCATATTTTGGCAACATTTCTCAAATGCAATTTTTTACTTTCATTCATACAATGCATGGCTGCCTTTATGATGGGTCTCTGGAACACCGGAATAGATTTTGCTAGGACTTCCACAGTAAGGTGCACATGGGAATATCATAAACTACTTTTTTATTCTGCGCTGACAAAATTGTGTGTTACATCTAAACTTTCAAATCCTTATAAGACTATTGTTGTCTCTTTTTTATTAAAGTGAAAAATAACTATATTACATAAGAAAGCCAAGACTTTGTAATAAGACATGTAATCTTTTAAAATGTAATTTTTCAGTCTTCTTTAGACGATTATGAGGCAGTGCCAGTAAGAGAATTTGGTATGGCCATGCTGCGTGGTATGGGATGGACACCTGGCAAAGAAGGGTAAGTCTCACATTATGCTCAAATTATGCTTAATTTTAAAATTACTACCAATATAATGTACATTAGATACTTTTTATTATCATAATGAATTTGGCAGAAGAGAAGATGCATAGGAAGGATAATGGGAAATGTTCTTCAGTACATTCTTCTGTTAATACACTAAACATCTTTTAGGTACCAGTTATAAAACTAAGCCTGCTTGCTCATTTGACTCCTTATAAATTATGAAATAATAAAAAAAGTTTTTCATATATAAAAAGTTACAATGTCACCAAACTATCATAAAATATGCAATAGTTTAGTAGGAATCTAGTTTAAAATCTTAATAAAATAGATAACAATTCCATCGCAGAAAAATTATCTCTAAATAAAAATACTAACTATTTGTTTCTAGGTCGAAATATAAATTGCCTAATTTGCGTCCGAAAGGCCTAGGTCTGGGTGCAGACAAAGTTATCAAAGACAACCAAAAGAATGCCTCAAAAGACAATGATAAGGAATTAGCTATTGTCAAAAATGCTTGCGTGAAAATAACTGCTGGAAAATATAATGGATGTTACGGAAAGGTGAGAAATAAAAATCATTGAAACACAACATTTTGGTACTAAAGTTATATTTTCTTGTTTAATTTTACCAAAATGATTATGTAAGAAATTATAATTTTAGTACTAAAATAAAGTACATATTTTCTTATGTTATTTTAGTACCACACACTTTATTATATATTTCATTTATTAGTGCATAAAATTTTTTGTATGTAACAAATAAACTCAAAAACTACTGGACCAATTTCAAAAATTCTTTCACCATTAGAAAGCTACATTATGATTGAGTGACATAGGCCAGTTATTACAGGATTTTATTTTAATTTGCGAGTAAAAGCTAGTATTTAATATTGTCCTAACATTCGCCCGCGTATCTGTCCTCATGGAATTAAAGAAAACGAAAGTAAGTTATGTTTTCTTCCAGACTATCCTCTATGTCTACACCAAATTTCATGGAAATCCACTCTCCATTTAGCCTACAAACTCTAACAAATATTCATCTATCCATCTAACTTTTACATTTATAATAGTATGATGTAATCACTTGACAGGTGGTAAGCTTGGATGACGACAATGGTCGAGTAATGGTCAACATACCTGTCAAAAAGGAAACTGTCAGTTTAAGTGAATTTATGATGCAGCCTGTCACTAAATCAGAGTTTGACAAACAAGCTAAAGTTATAAGTAAGTTAATCCATACATAACAATTTTAAACTACAATTAAATCATTAGATAACCAACAATTTGTAATGAAGATCAATTTGTCTTTTTCCACTGGGATAAAACAGCCGTACGTTGCTAGATTCGCACGACTAATGTTGTGGAAACAGGCACTAAGACTGTCATTCGATTTTGGGTTTCTAGAAGTGATAAAAATACAATTGTTTTTATTTATTTTTAGATGCAGATTCATATGAAGCTTATAAAAAGGATGAATTCAATCAAAAGCCATCTAAATATGAAATGAAGGATGAAAGTTCTTCAAGTAACAGATCGAAAGATAACAATGTTAGAAAAGAAATAAAGAATGTAGATGGTACATCTCAAAAGAAAAGGGAATATTCAAATGGTAGAAGTAAAGAAAAGAATCTACAACATGATTCATCAAGTAGTGAAGATAACTCAAGACAAAAAAGAATAGAAAGGAAAAGATATAGTAGCAATGAATCTCTTAGTTCTGACTCTGATAGAAGAAAAAAGAAACATAATAAACACTATAGTAGTAGTGATTCTGAAGATTATAAAAGGCATAAAAGTTCCCGTAAAGAAAGAAAAGACATTGACAAGAAAAGAAAGGGAAAAAAGAAAAAGAGAGATCGAGATCGTTCCCCTAGTCATCGTAAGCATAAGAAATAATTTAATAGAAATTATAATATAATCTTTTGCATTTTTATTGGTGATTTTCATTTTTCGAATACCTCAATACTTTTAATATAAAAGCGGACAAAAGACCCCTATACATGTTCAGTTTTATCTGAACAGTCAAACTGTACTATTAAAACCTGTGGGTAAAAGTTAAAATGAACAGTTCTCTATTTTGCCCACATGTCAGTTTTAACTAGATGAATAATTTTTACCAATACAGTGCTCACTGTACAGTTAAACTGTTCAGTAATAACTGAACTGTGTGTTACACAAGATACACTTCTCTGAGTAACGTTTTAATATTTAATTTGTTTTATTATGGTTGTATCTTAGAACAATATTTAGTTAGCTTTTGTTTGTGGTATAATTATCTTTTATTTGTTTACTGGGAGATATTATTTTGTAATCAAATACTGTCAGCATTGCTAATTATATATTTTACTATGGTTAATAAAAACTTGACAATTATTATAAAACTACAATAGTATGTAATTAAACAAAAAATTATAACTCAACTCGCAAGCAAAAAAACATGTAATGCTTTATGTCGCTGTGGAAATCAAAGTTCAGTGAGATAAAAAAAATGTATGTTATTATGAATTCACAGTGGCGAAACATTTCGAAAAAAGACCTTGCAAAGCTACAGTTTTTTGAACATTGATCGTGTGTCCTGCTTAAAATCTCTAGTCTATGTTATTGTTATTGCACAGGGCACCTACTATATTCTATGGTGTCTGTTTGTGAGCGAAGGACAAAATAAAATACGTACTTTACTCCGAAACAATATGTAAGAACCAAGGGAGCCAGAGGAGCTGCTTCCCCGAAAGACCCCAAAAATGAGAAATAGATATAAAAACTATTACAAATAAAACGTTTTTTATGATGGCTGTCCTAGATCTAGCTTAGATTATAGGATGGTAACGCCCAGTGTCAGAACATATAAATACGTATAAATTTATGTGTATACTAGCTTTCGCCCGCCTTCCGTTCGCTAGACATCAAATAAACAAAAGCGAATAGCCTATGTGTTCTTCCAGACTATCCTCTACATCTATACCAAATTTCATCGAGATCTGTTCAGCCGTTTAGGCTACAAACTCTAATAAACATCCATCTAAACTTTCGCATTTATAATATTAGTAAGAAGTAAGAATAAATATTTATGTGTAAGTACTACGGTAGCTTATTAAAATTTCATAAACACCTACTAAATATACCAAGGGTATGGTAAATATGTCACCGAGGTGTTAATTCTTGTTTGTTACACTTGGTAACAATCACAATACCATTTATTATACAGTTTGAAGGTGACAGTGATGTAAAATTTATATAAGGATAACGCTCTCGGTGCCTCGTAAATTATTTACGAAGTGTCACCTTCACTAATGCGACGTCTTGTAAAACAAAAGAGAGTCGTAATATTATACTTAATTTAACGCGCGCTTTGATAACGCGCATTTGAATTCCACGTATGAAAACGCGTACTTCTAAACGCCCATTTGTATGTACCGGTATGATGGTGTATAGAAATAACGATTCTGGGTTTCAATTTTCATTCAAACATTATCAGGAAGACGCTATATCTAGATTTTTCGCAACTAAGGAAACAATTCATTAATTTTCTTTAAAAAATTAGATTGTAATCAAATCATAAGTAGAATAAGTAGAAGTGTAATTTATGTTATGGAAGAACGGAGTATCCTGTCACAGGTATTTTATACTTAAAAGGATGCTCCAACAACTGTTTAAAACTTTTGTAAATGTATTTTTCAAATAAACGAATTTATTATTATCAGTAGAGAATATTTGTAATCAGTTTACCTGTGCACAACTTGTCTCTATAAACTATGTTGTTAAATGATTGGAGACTGGAGACCTCTCATCAGTAGTGATTATCGCTAATCTGTCAAACGTAGGCAGAAAATATTTTGCATCCGTCGGCGCATGACCGAGCCCCGACCGGGCGATGGTACAACGAGCACCTCAGTTGCTCCCCCGCCGTCGACGTCGATGCGCGCATTTACTAATAATTATACTCTTCATCATCGAGTGCATACTAATGACTGAAAATACGCCCAGAATAAACACGTAAACACTTCAAGCCATTTCCCTGCTTACCGATCAACAATGGCGTAGCAACTGAAAATTTTCCGAATTATTTATTGTACTACCAAAAAGTGACATTTTACGTATATTCCAATACGTTTAGTGATTTTGTAAAGGTGTATAAAAAAATATAAAAAATGATACAAGATATTGAGGCGGCCGCGTTGGCGGAGCGGATAGCGGCGTTCAAAAGCGATCCAGAGAAACTGCAACAAGCAACGGAATTCGTGGAGCTGCTTATAAAACAAGCAGAAAAGGAAGCTGGACTTAAACAAAAAGAGAAAGACAAAAACAAATTTGTAAGTATCTATATTTTCCCAGTTTGGAAACCGAATGTAAGGAAATGATAGGGCGGTAAGTGTTTGATGTCAAATGATACAATTTTAGATTGCAAGGACTCGCTTGTCACGAATAGAAACACTTCTTTGATCGATACACGCATTTTCTGTATGCATTTTCATGCTTTTACATAGATGCATACAAGCTTGCTTCTAGAACTACTGTTTTCAGTTAGGTTCCGTCACATAAAAGAAACTCATCTCAGTTAGCATTAGTTAATAGCAGTAGTAGTAAGAATGCAGAGATATTAGCTCTTCTACAGAATTTAATTTTACTATTTTCTTATTCTTAAGTAAACCTTCTTATGATTCAAGTGAAGTTCAAAATAATTTATAAATCACCGCGAAATCTTATCGCAAACTTAAATTACGAAAATAATAACCATAACATTTTCCATTGATTTTTTAGGTTCTTTTCACCGTCCTTTTATTTACCTTCAACAATTAAGTTACATTGTTTTAGAAGTAATACTAATCGTTATGTTTACAATGTTTTGTATAATACGGTAACATTTATGATAATATATTTTGACAAGCCTATCAAACGCTCAAGAGATTGTAAGGGTTAATCGGTATACGATATATTAACATGATAAAACCGTAAGCGGTGTTATGGAACTGGTACAAATTGCTTGATCGATAGCCGGCATATAGCATCTGTGGTACAATAATATGTAACACGCTAAATGCCACCGACTCGCCTGGCGAATTCATTTTACTGCAAAAGTTCATAGTGGCATGTAACGTGTTAAGTTTAAATTTAGTATTGCACTAATAATGAAATATAAATTATAAAAATGCTATTCTTGATTTAATATAAGATGTAAGAAGCATGTTTTATAGCCTAGAATTTATTTTAGTTGAAATTAAAATAAGCAAATCTATTCCTCAAGGGACACCTGTAATAATAATAATAATTTGGAGATGTTAAGAAGTACCATAATAATGCTTAGTTAATTATCACTTACAGTTTTATAACAATGAAAAAAAGTTAGAATTCACCTGTTTTCACAGGCTTTTTATAGCCTGAACGTCACGTCTGTCACGAAAAAAATACTATTAGGCTATTGTTTTTTCTTAACTAAAGTTTAAAAAATATTAGTGTATGTACAATAAGACATTTCCTAGCTTACAGTTTTAATTGCAAGTTTATAAATTTTTTGCTATTTGATATTTTCTTCACAATCATTTTTGCTTTGTTACAGGAAGGGCATGACTCAGGAGTAGGTAAGTGATTTTGAAAATACATGACACCAAAGATTTCAACACTTTTCCACCTTTGAGAGAATATATTAATCCAAGGTTTCCACTGTACTTTTCTACTTTGTAGTCGAAAAAAACATGCAGAAAATTTCTTTTATTTATGATATGTTTATAGAGATTGAAACTGAACAGATGTTTCAATTCATCAAAACCCTTATACTGATAGTCAAGAAGGCGAATGTCCCAATTTTACAAACGTTTCCCTAGTTACTCCAAAATCCTTCAGTGTTTTATTTTATAACTTAGGATGTTTCCCGTAGGGGCGATCAGCCATTTCACAAAAACACTTTCATCTGCAGGGCCACAGGGCCACTTGATCTTTGGCCGATCGGCCTAACGGAAAACAACCCAATTTGCTATTGTGTTTTTTTCTAATGTAATATGAAGGATGACAGTATTTTTTTTAAGTTTTTGTGGGCAATGAAAATCCACGTTAAGATTACCATTAATAAAAGACGTTTCCCCGATGACGTAAGATGAGCGTCATTTAGATTATCGTGCCACTTGTTTCTTTAAACGCTACTAATCCTGATGTAAAGTTTCCTAAGCAACACTTTAGAGAAATCATTTATTTATTAAAAATGTACAGGAAACATTTTAGTAGTTTATGTAAAGATGCGGTCGCCAAAAGCTAGATAGTTTATAGACTGAAACGTATGTCATCATCATCATCCACTTGCCCTTATCCCTTATGGAGGGTCGGCACAGTATGTGCTGCTCTTCCATACATCTCTATCAGCCGTCATATCT